TGGTGCAATCAAAGGCTGAGAACAGGCCTCCCCAGACAGCAAAGCTTTCGCTGACTCGGGGAGCGTTCATGCGGACGGCCTGCATGCCTCCGGCAAGGGGCTCGTCGTTGGGGAAGTTGTAGATGCCTTTTATGAATTGGAAGGCGGAGCCGGCCGCCGACGGCACCCATACCAAAGGCGTCACCGATGTCGTCAAGGATTCGGTCAGGACACGGCTCACATGAGGTCTCTGGTGTCCCCATGGCTCAAAGGAGTATATATATATATATATATATATGTCAAATATATCCCCTCTTCGTCTCCACTCTGCTAGGGTTTTGGCGTTTTCTTCAATATCTCTCTCGCGTCTCTGCTTAACCTTCCTCGTCGTCTGCCGCTTTGTCCGTTTCTGCAATTTTGGCAGCTGCGTCGCTCTGTTTGTCACGTCACTTCCGCTTTCTGCTTCGCGTCTCCTTCGTCGTTTTCCACTCTGCTCGAGCTGTTTTCGCGGGGTCCTCTGTCCGCTTCTGCGCTGCTTCTGCGATTTGGGCAAGTTGTGTCCTGTTCGCTGCAGCCTACAGGGCGTCTTTTTGCTTGAACTAAATTTGCAGGGTTTCCGGGATGGCTTCGAACAGATCGTATGCTGCTGGTCTTGCTGGTGTCCACGCCTCAGGTACACTTAAATCGTGCACTTTCCCTTTTTCGTTTGAGTGAGAGGAGAATATTAAGAAACCTGGTAGGAAGAATGAGAAATTTGTCATCTTTTTTACAGAAGCTGAAGGTATTCAACTTGCTTCCTCTTGTCGACTGAATTTGGTTGAAAAATTTTTATATGGTCATCCCAAAATGAAACTGATTCGTAAGAAATTTGAGCTTATGCACATGGTTGGGGAGTGAAAAATTGGACTGTTATATGGAAGACACATTCTCATACAAATTAATAATAAAGAGGATTACAAGTGTTTATTTGATAGAAGGATAATCTGGATTGATAACAAAGCAATGAAAATTCTGAAATGGTCTGTGGATTTTGACCCTCAAACGGAACCTCCAATCATTCTGGTTTGGATTCGCCTCCCTGGTCTGAAATTTCATTATTTTACTCAAAAACTTTTGTACACTACTACCTCAGCTTATAGTAATCCACTCAAAACGAACATTCCTATTTTTAATATTTCCCGTCCATCAGAAGCTAGAATACTTGTTGAAAGAGACATCACTTCATCTGCTTCTGAGAAAATTTGATTGGGCACACAACATCATGAGTATTGACAAAAGACAAAAGATAGTGATTAAGTGATTAAGCATTTTCCTTCATATTGTTCAAACTGTCGTACGTTCGGCCACTCCAGTTCTCAATGCCACCATCTACATCTACACCTCAGACTAAAAAAAAGCACAGTGCTCCGCCAGAGACAGTGATTTCATCTCCTCCTGATCAGCTGATCAGCATCTCCTCCTGATCAGCTCCAAGTTATTGACAATATTGATCATCAAAAGAATGCCCCGAAGACGTCACTATTCTCGCAGGCAATATTACAATCATTCAGTCGTCCCACTTACCCAAGAATCTATCACCGTTATTACAGGTGGCAACATTTCTAATGTTTCACTATTGTCTCATCAGGTCGAGCAAGCTATAACTGACACTCAGGCTCATGGGGATCATGTTGTGCAACAGCCTACACTTGTCCAACCAACTTTGGAACAATCTATTGATCCAATGAGTCAATCATCGGATGAGGAATGACAGGTCTGCACATCGATGAGGAAGAAGAAAAATGGAGACCTACTTAAGCTCAGGAATTTGATGGATGATACTTTGGTTACTTCGGGCAATGGCACTCACCTTACTAATTTGTTAGCAGGCTCAATTCTGAGAACTAGAGGCAGAGGGAGGACTAAAGTGGGGCGTCCCTAACACTTTTGCGCTCTTTGGTGGCTTTTTGACTTTTTATCTTTATGTATGTTTGCTTTATTTGGGTTTGTGTGTGTTGTATTGTGTGAATTGAGTTTTCTTTTAAGTTCTCTCATACAACATTTCTTTATCTTTTTCATTTTAATAAATTAGCCCTTAGCATTTTTCTATATATATATGTTGTCTGCCATGGCGTCTTTCAAGAAGGATGCCGCCCACTATCCCATTTCTTTCGACGCTCTAACCATTCTCCGCCTCTGCCGCTAGCAAGCTAACGTGTCAGCAGAGGATCGTTTCGTTTTCCGCGATCATCGACAACGACGCAAGCATTCTGCAATTTCGTTCGCGCCAACTTCTGCGTCGAGCGTCGACCTCGTCGAGCTGCAAGTTCCGCGGCTTCTGCATCGGCGTCCAGCTCCGCGGCTCGTCGTTCTGCATCGGTTTTCGAAGCTTCTTCTATTCATGTCTGCTCCAGTGCTTCTCCGACCCGATCTTCTGCTTTGTTTCTACGCCTTTCCCTCCAGCCCAACGCAAGTTTCTCGCTACAGATGACAGCTGGTTGTTATGATGGCACTTCCTTCTTCTTTTGCTGAACTGGCAAAGGCTTCATTTGCCCGCGTGGTGGGAAACCCTCAGATGGAGTCCGCGGTGGTATTCCCCTCAAACTATAAGGAATGTCGCGATGGCACAGATGATTGTCCTTTCGTTAAGAAGGGAAGTAGGAAAGGTGGGAAAGTAGCAATTTTTTTCTCTGACTCAGAAATTTCTACCTTGACAGAAAAATTCAAGTTTGTTCTCATTGGAAAATTTCAGTGGGGACACCCACCTATGGAGGTTATCAGAAAGAGCGTAGATGATCTTAAGCAAGTAGGCAAGTGGAATGTGGGACTTATGGATGGGACATGTGTTGATCCAACTAACAATGGCTGAAGACTTCACCAGAATTTTCTCCAAGAAATATCTTAATATCGCAAGAAAAGCTATGAAGTTACTCAAGTGATCTCCTGTTTTCGACCCAAATCATGAAACTCTCACTGTACCGGAATGGTTTAGTTTGTCTGGTCTCAAGCTGCATTTTCTTCACCATTAGTTTCTCTACCCTATTGGGGTCATCCTAGGGGATCTTTTGAAGCTAGATTTGCTTACTTTCAACCTAATCAGACTCTCGGTGGCCAGAATACTTGTAGAAAGTGATATTACTATACCGGATGTTACTGAAGTCTGGCTGGGCACAACCCACAATGGATATTGGCAACAAATCGTCTTGGAACACAGACCCTCATATTGTACCGACTGTAAGATGTTTGGTCATATACTTGATAAATGCTACAAGCTACATCCTAATTTGAAAACTAAGGTTCGAGTGAATAAGGATGAGTCTAACCCCACTGCTCTTGAAATTTTAGTTCCACCTAGGGAGGATACTACTGGGAGAATACTACTAGACAGGTGGTGTTTGTTGCCCCTGAGGACCCCCCTCATGACACTGTTGTTACTATTACTGCAAGAGATGTGATGTTGGCACCTTCAAACCCCATAGAAAACAATACTGATTGACTATTACCTACAAAAGAAAGTGTTCAAACTGACAATCAGGAGAACCTCGCAGCTCCACTTCTTCAGGAAGTATCCGGTGTAGAGGCAACTCATACTACACATATGCTAGAACTTATTTTGGGTACTAAGGTTGATATTCCTTCTGCTTCAGCTCTACCACCCCATCAGACTGATTCTTCGGAAGAGGAATGGCAGGTCTATTCCAGGAGGAAGAAGAAGAATGGAGGCAGACTCTAGCTCGGGATCATATTGAATGTGTGTGTGTGTGTGTGTGTGTGTGTGTTCCCTTTATTTTCACTATGTATTTTTCAAATTATGAGAATTACTCCCACCTCGAAGCTTAACGCTTTATCTGACGAATGAAAAATGTCTCAATACCCAATTGGGAAATTTTAAAAATTGAAGGGATGATAATAGAGTCTATTTAAAAAATTCATAAATAATAAAATAAGGTGGTTTGAATATGTTCAATAAATAGTTGAAAATGCAGTAGAGTAAACTAAGTTGAAGGATTAACAAGAAAAAGAGGTAATGAACAATAAAATGGATAGAAGTTAAGCAAAATGATTTATACATAATAGGTTTAACACTTCATGCATTAGTCAACAGAAACGACCAAAAAATGGGGATTTATATTATAGACCCCGAAAATGTTGGTATAAACCAAATAATGATGGTATGATCACGGAAATAATAATGACAAATTTATAAGATACTTATCATAGAACGAACTATTTATTATAAAGAGATCTCTTTACCTATTATATGCTTCTCTTTCTATTTCCCATTTCTTTCCCCCACTCACTAAATCCATAACTTTGGGCTTTAATTCGACTATCTAAATCCCAAAATCTATTACTAGATTTCTCAGTTTCCTAAAACCAACCCAAATTTAATAAACATGGCCAAATATGGGAGTTTCAAAACCCTTTTACCTTGCTTGAGCAACTTTGAGCATTAAAGCATTCTTGATCCATGAAACTCTACCAAGCAGATAACTGAATTTTAGCGTTATATAATCCTACTAAAGAACAAGTTGCTACCAGAAATTATCTTTAACTGTATCCAAATTATATTTTGTAATAGATTTAAAATAATTAAATCCATCACACCTAATCATCAACTCATCTTCCAAAAAATAAGTTTGGCTGCTAATTTAGATTTGATAATTTAACTACTAAAATTATATATTTATGTTCAGTATTATTCGAATGACCTCAACTTTCTTTCCTTCAAAATAAAATATCCATGAAAGAGTGGACAATCAGCAATAGACAGCAGGGTTTCTTCAAAACACATTCTCATTCTTTTGAACCATAGACATAGCAAATTCTATATATTGTGGACCGAACATCCTCAAAATAAGATACGCCCTTTAGTGTAGACAAGCTGCATAGTCCCAAAAAAAAGAAGATAATAAAACAAAATAAAATCCTTCTTTCTGATATTAAAATGACTATCACAATCTAAATATTGCCAATAACAATGCCAACTTCATCAGACAATGCTGGTCAGGAGCATGAGATGTATATAGAAAATTTCAAACCTGGCGTTCAACAGTTAGTGGTGTGTAGCCTGTCATGAGAAAATGACATCTTGGAGTAGGAATTAAAGATGCAAGAAGGCCGACCAAATCATTATTCATGTATCCCGGATAACGCAGTGTAGTTGTACTAGCAGACATAACCGTGGAAACCAATGAATTTGTCTCTTTAAATGTTGGATTGGCTAAATGAAGACGCTCAACAGCAATCCTATTCAACGCAGTATTGTCAAGAACAACAACACAATCAGCATTCAATGTCAGCCGCTTTAGCGTCAGAAGTGAATTGTATGGTTGCACTACAACGTCACTAGTCTCCATTTGGTTGGGAAATACACTGTAAGTCTGAACAAGTTTCTTGCTGTATCTATCATTCAAAGTCTCCAACAGATATGAGCCCATGCCTGTACGTTCCATTCCTCAAGTAAGCAATGCATGACAAAATATTGAGGACAAAATAATAAACATGAAATATTCCAAAGAGGATAGTAACAGCAGGATACGCCACAACATAAAAGAATATTAAAATATAATAGCAAAAAAAAGAAGCATCAATAGAGTTCGTATAGGGTTCCCGCCTCCAACCATCCAACCATATATAAAAAAAACAACTCAAGCCCAGCCTCCTAAGGCCACTAAAGCATCAGACCTGGACAAGGCTGCACAGGATTGATTCTTCTTCTCAGCCTTCATAGTTTTCAATTGCAATATTCTGTAGATTATTAGAACTGAAGCTTCCATTAATAAGGAAAATGAACAGTGAGATTACAAAAGTTTAACAAATACAAGACAAGCCACCAATATGATTATTGTTTGCAGTATAATCACCATCATCAGGTTAACCTTATCCTCTCACTCCCCATTCTTTTTTGTTTAGTGTTGCAATAGGTATTAAGCCTAGTTTGTGTAAAACAATTTGCATATTTATTCATGTTACATTTGGTAAAAACAAAAAGCCTTTATCCCACTAAGTGGGATCGGCTACATGAATCATTTTTTTCCATTGCATCCTATTGAGTGTCATACTTTTATTTAATTCTAACAGATTAAGATGATTTTGTATGCAATATGCCCAAGTTTTCAGGTCTACTTCTGCCTTTCTTAGCATAAGTGGAATCTAAAACATCTACTCTCCTCACAGAATCATCAGATGATCGACGTTTATTGTGACCAAAGCATCTAAAATGACTCCCCCTAATCTTTTCCACCATTGGAGCTACACCAACCCTATCATGGATATATTCATTTCACTTTCCCTATCATGTTACATTTGTTCCACCAATTAATTGAAATCTAGTTAAGTAAAATGAAGGTAAATTTCTAAATATCAAGGCATCTATTGCAGTAAGGGTTGGAATTTCACCAGAAACTCCAAAGTTATGTATATTCATATGAAAGCACATACAGGATGGTTAACTGACCTCCTATTAAGTTACACCAATGAAATAAAATTGTTAAACCATTAGGCCAACGTGGATAATATTTTTACGGGTGACGATGAAAGCTAAGTGTAATATAGAATAAAGTGTTGTGCCATAAGATCCACCTCTTGAACTTTGGATGAGACAAAGTGCTACTTGGTGGGAGCCACCTCTTGAATCTACTAGAGCAATCTCTAGAATCCTATCTACTTAATGGATGATTATTGGTTACGAACACTAAGAAGGATGTCAGTTATTTCAATGGAAGTTTGAGAAACCAATTAAATAGAAAGAGACATAACTGTTAAATATTGAGATGTCATTTAATGTAACGGTAGCAATTCCAAAATTAAGTGTTCAGGTATGAAAACACGCTTGCTATTGGGCAAACTCCCAGGAAGTTGCACCAATGATAAAAAAACTAAGAGGCTTTTATGCCAAAGCGAATAATATCCTTACGAGTGAGAGTTTGGATTGTTGCGCATTGCTTAAAAAATATTTGAAATTAATTTTGTATGTCTGCTTAATGATATATATTCTACAATTCATTTTACATGTCAAAAAATCCAACATGTTTTCTGGTTTAACTCATGACTCATATGCTTAATTTATTAAGGCCCGAGATCAAGTTCATAATGGCTAGTGGAACACAATTATTCAACAAATGTGAATAATAATATTTGGTTTATTCACCCATCAAGCTATAATCAATGTGCTCCGAGTTTCAGCACATTCTATTACATCACAAGTTTAAGGCCTCAATCAATAAATGAGAAAACAAAACACTCAACTTGTTTCACCCCTCTTTAAGGAGAGAAATATTTACATACGGAGAACGCACACAGCTCTTCGTGCGTAATCCCCTCCCAATAACTTCTCAATAACCTCTGTGAAGGTTATTGGGGGACTATTGCGAGTTATTTCTGCGTTATTTGGAGTCAATACTCTAACACTAGAGAAAATGTGAAAGTATAACCGCGAAATGTGAAAGTGTAACCGTGAAGGGCATTGACTCCAAAAAACGCCGAAATAACTCAGCAATAACCCCCCAATAACCTTCACAGAAGTTATTGAGGAAGTATTGGGAGTGGATTACGCGCGGAGAGTTGCGTGCGTTCTCCGTACGTAAATATTTCTCCTTTAAGGCATCTCCCTTTCTAAAATTATCCCAAATAACCAAATCATTTCTTTTTTCATTTTATTCTAAGCCCTCCTAGCCTCCACATCCCATACCATCCTCCATTTGCTCCTCCATATACCTTGGAACTTACCAAAGCTAAAGCAATGCTCATCCAACTCTCTTCTCAGCAAGTGCAATTGAGATCGCATTTTGACGGAGCGATGTAGGTGAAGGTGGGACCATTTTGAAGGAAGCATTAAAGGGAGTTCATTATATTGTTGTAAGCCTAAAAATTATGTTATAGTCGAAATACAAGATAAAATTCACATCCCATGCACAAAATATGGATTTTGTTACACTCACTTATAACTTCCTAATCATCCCTCACAACACCAAAAATTTAAAACTATATTAAGGTGAACCTATGAATTGCAGCACCTAAATGCACAAAACTATTTTTTTGGGTCAGCCATTCGAGTACCTGAAATATCACTCTTGGGTTATAATATTATGATAGAATACATCATGAAACTTTTTATAGCCCAAGTAAATCTTTCTAGTGAGTAGAAAATGTATAATGTATAATCTTCAATATGACTAATTAGGCAAACCAAAGCAGATATGAGGTATGAGGGAATGAACTCTTAATGAGTGATTTTTCTGGGCATCAACACGGAACGAGTGAATCAGAATGGACATTACCTTCAATTCTACACCCACTTGAATGGGGCAATTTCAATGAGAGGAAATGTCCACTAAGATGCGAGATGCTATAAAAAAAAACAAGCACAAATTGCTAATTGTCATTTTGATAGATGAAAATTTTGGAAAAATCAAAGCTCAAGTGTACATTGAATCTTAACAAAGTTTTGCATGAAATAACAAACTCTTATGAGCTTGATTTCTGTATAAAATCTAATATCCATTGAGTCATCTTTCAAAGCTAGTCGAAAAACTCAAAAATACCTCATAATGTTCATGCCATCTTGTCTAATAGTCATTTAAACGGCCATATAAAAAATCATGGACAGCTGACAGGCATATTTAAATTAAAAAACTCTACTATAGAATAACATGCTATAGGATATTTCTGATAAATCAAGATCGGAACAAAAAGGAGAGACATGAATGACTGCTCAGAAAGTTTGCTAATTACAACTTAGAGGTGCAAGAATGATCTAATCCATTCATCCAAGTAAATAGCTCTAAATTGTTTAGAAATTGCAAGAACGGTGCATTTAAATTAACTTAAACTCATATACAGTAATACTTTTTTATTGAGCCAGTTTGTCTGAAACATTATCAATAAACTAGCGTGAAAGTAACAAGGAAAAAAAAGCAGAAGGTAAAATGAATAGAAATGCAAAATAGTTCACGCAAAATGGACCGTACATCATAAGAATGAATGAAGAATGAGAATTCATAAAGCCAACCTTAACTAGTTAGGGTAAAACTAATGATGATGATGTTGGTAGTTATGTTGACTATCATACCCGTAAAAAATTGACCGCTTTAATCATCCATGTAACTCAACAATCAATCTTCTAAAGTTATTTCTTCATGAATGCAAAAAGAATAAAACATGTTGAAAATTAATATTACTTTTGGTTTTGAAGAATAGTAATCAAGGTTGTGAAAATCAGTGTGGACATTAAATTGAATAAAGATATGGCTCAAGGTCCAACGAGGGAGTTGAATCAGGGGTTGAATGGGATGGTGAAATAAATATTAAAGTTATTTTAACATGATTTAAACAATGTAATATTGATATTTTCACCAGTTTAATATATAATATTCTAATTCAGGACACTTCACACTTAAATCTTTCAAATATGGTTATAAATTTAATTTATGGACATGCTATTCTAATTAATTTTTTTAACTTTAAATCTATAGATTTCAAAGCCACACACACAAATACATAATTATATGAAAAGCTTTTAAGTTTTCATGTACTAAGATTTACTTTATAATGTTGTACAAAAACATTAAAAATATTAATTTAAATATTAAGTTTTATATAAAAGTTGGAAAATTAATGCCCTAATTAGAACAATATCTAAAATCAAAAAAGTGCAAATCTTAATTATGGTTTAAGTATTTAAATTAAAGATTAAATTAAATATTGTGATCAAATAATAATAATAATTATTAAGAATATATATTTACATAAAATAATTTTCAAAAAAATAATTCTACATAAGATAATTTATATAATATTTATTGATATAAGTATCACATTAAGACATGCAACTTTCGAAAAATAAGTGGCAAGCTAGTCTTATGTGAAAATGCAATATCATATTTCTCTTTTATAGTAACTATATTTAATTTTCTAAAATTTTAAAGATAATGATTAGGGTTGTAAACGAGTCGAGCTTGAGCGAGTTCAGGTTTGGCTCGTGTTCAATTCGTTTGAAACTATTCGTGTTCGAAATCGGCTCGTAAACAGTGTGTTCGTGTTTGGATCGATTTAAATATTCGTGTTCGTGTTCAGCTCGTGTTCGGCTCGAAATTGGCTCATTAAAATTAAATTAAAAAAATAGATGTTAAAAGTTGGATTTGAACCTGGACTAAATGTATGCAAAAGAAGACATTAACCATATTATATATATATATATATACATATATTGAGCTAAAACAAGCCGAACACGAGCAAACAAAGAGTTGTTCGTGTTCGGCTCATTTATAATTCGAACTTTAAAAACTTGTTCGTGTTCGGCTCGTTCGTTAAGTAAACGAGCCGAACACGAGCTGTTCACGAACAACGAGCATTTTTGACATCCCTATACTCTGATGTATATTTAACACTATAAGTACATAATTAAAAATATTTAAAATATTTTTCTAATTCCAAACATAA